AAGAACAAGGGGAGGAGACTCTCCGGGGATTGCGTGCGGACATCAAATGTTTACCTGTAACAAAGAGAAAGGGGAAGGTGTAGAAGGCAAAAAAGGAGAGGAAAAAAAGGCCGTGGTTTACAGGGGTGGGCGGGGACCCAAAGCCTAAAGCATGAGCTTCGCACGCAACTTAACAATACTACCTTTATGAAGACTGTATTTCATTAGTCAGTGAGCACACACACACTCACATGAGATAGCGTTGGTGTTATACATGCCCACAAGCACACACCGACACAAGTCGAGGAATTTAACAGGAATAGATAAGTGGTGGCATTTACACTGCAGCTCTCCTTGTCACACAATGGAAAAGGTTAAGGAAGATCAAAGGCACTTAGATTATTTTAAGGCAAACATGGGCTTTTTTTAACAACAAATGGGACAAAATAACTGATGCCATCTGTGGAACAGCTGGAGTTTCTGTTTGGCAGAGATATTTACTTGCGACTGTCCAAGCTCAACCCAGAACTTCTCAAAGCAGATGTTTAGCATTCCCACACATTCCAGACCCTCCCCATAGTTACCCTGTTCATTTCTTTCCCTCTATAATTGCCCAACAAATCACAACAAAATGAGAGACAGCTTTTGTTGCTGAAAGTACAGAGAGTGTCAGTAATTCACCAATAGGCGACCTCCCTTTTACTTTCTTTGGGGGTCTCTCTCAATCTGCAATCTACAGTATCTGCATGACTCTCCGTGTCAAAATTGCCTTATCTGCAACGAGAATAAAAAGGCTGGAAAAACATGGGTTGGTGTAGAACTGATAATAGATTACTATCAACAGTCACGTCATGTATTTACATTGTGTGCTCTCAATTATAGACCCTTAAAGTGACACCTCTGAATAATCTCTCTACGAATAACATTCACACCTATTAAGACATGTTTTTTTTCCTTTTTTTTTACCATTTATATTATTATGACAGTGTGTTGTATATTCCCCTTCATAATACTGCACATACAAAATATCCTCAACACAATTAGAACTTTTACAAAATCCAACATTTCAACTTTTTGGATATAAAAAAATCTGTCAGTCACTGCTCTGATTGGCAACTTGCGTGTAAAAGGCAGAGTTGTTGGGATTTAGCTCAGGGCGCCTGCGGTCAGCGCAATATGTGTACTGTAAATAATTTGGCTGTGTATCTCGTGTGATTGTGTGAGCAGGGAGGGAGAGACGGGCAAGCGAGCTACGCACACACTGGGATCAGGGCTTCCTCTCCTGCGAGTATCAGCAGTCAGAGCGCAAGGTACAATAGGGAGCATTGTTCACCTGGCAGGCCCCTGCTTGCCGACTCCCCCTCCATACCTGAGCACAGAGACAGGTGTATTTCTCCTAGTCACGCATAGCCCTGCCACACTCCCAGCTGCCTACACACTGCTTGCCACCAAAATCTACCCCCCTGACCCCTCCCCACACACACAGACATTTAGAAAAGCATCCAGAGGAAAAATTTTAAAAAAGGCTTCATATGCTTATTCTCCAACTAGAGGTGTAAACTTACTCATAGTATTTCCCCTATTTGAACAATTTTAGCCTCACCTTCATTTTTTCCTGTTTAAAATTTTAAACTTCATGAGGGCTCTTTGTAGAGTCACCAAGCCAGAACTCATGCTCCTTGAAATGCATGCACAGGTATGCAGCTGCATGCTCCTTGGTGCTTAGTGTGTTCATAATTAGAGCTATAAATGTAGGTTTTTATAGACTAAGATTTGCTCTTTGACATAGAAACCCAATAAACCAAGACACCTGCAATGGTCAAACTATGCTACACGCCAGCAAGGGTGTGTTTCTCCGAATAAATTCCGCCTGTGTCCAGTGAAAGACTGAATGAGTCATATAGGCTACATGTCAGTGGTTCTGTAAGCCTAGTCCAGGCCAAAAGTTCATTTAATTTCTCCTCAAGTGAGAAAACTTGGTTGGGTAAACACTGGAACTTCAGTTACAGTTTGACATCTTAATGCAGGATGAGATGGGAAAGGCTTGAGCGAACTGATTTACTAAAATCTTTACGGTTAGCATCAATCAAATGAGGGGGTTTGAGGGGGATTGTGCCATTGATTACATGGTTTTCTTTGAAAGGCTCTCTCTTCCATAGATCTGACTCCCTAAGGTGCTGGAAGGAATCCAGCTCTATCAGTCTCATAGCACAAGAGGATTAGCTCTTTATCCTGGGTGATTCTATAGAAAAGAGGTACACGCCACATTGTGTCTCATTATGTAAAACTGGTGAAAGCCATTTTTAGTTTCACATGAGAAATTTTCACCCACTTCAGTGAGAAACCTTGCCTTGACCTCTGTTTTGCTACACTTTGCCCATTCCCACAGGCGTGCCAAAAAAAAAAAAAACAGACGGAAATCTGCATGTTGGCTGTATGTGAAATTACATGAGCTGCCAACATGGAATCTAACCTCATGTTTCCTGGCTGATGTTTACCCAATTAATTCCCAGGCGGATGTAGAAGTAATAACACTCATGAGAAGTGGGAAAGTGAGAAAATAAAGAACGGAAACCTAAGCAGACTAGCAATTTTGTGGTTACCAGAGAAACAGCATATAGTTATTGGGAAATATGTGTCATTGTGTCATCCACCCTGTTATTTCTGTAAGGTCATTACCATCCTTCCCCCTGTCCCCACCTGTGATCCAGCTTATATCCCTCTATAAGAGCAGAGGTATGGCCTTGAGTAATGTCTCTCTTTCAGTCTCATAGGCTCTTCTCTATATCCTGCTGAAGCTTAGGTACTCAGGGTCACATAAGGAAACATTTGTTCCCAGTCTGGTTGAATAGAGCCTTGTGTTGGAAGTAGTCAAAGAGATACAAGGGGATAGGACATCCAAACAGTCCAACACAAGGGCTCTGCTCTGAAGCCCCTCTCTGTCTGAGCTGGGCCAGTAATGAATGTGCTCTAGTCTTAATCACTCTCAGAGCACACACTGGAGATATGACTGACTCAATTGTCCTCGTCTCTATGTTTTCTACGTTGAAAGCAGAAGGTCATGAGGGTCATCGCTTTCAGTAAATATTAGATTTGTTTCACCCACTCCAGGTGATGGCGGCCTCGCTTGGCTCCTTTGCCAGTAGATTTCCACATATCATAAGTTTTACACTTGCACGACTGTCTGTGGGTGTACACTCAGTCTCGTTTCCTCTGGATTTTTTTTTTTATGCATTCCTCCTTTTTCCTCCCATCTGTGTGAGAAGCATTCAGCATGGGTTCGTGCTCCCTGGATATGATTATCCTTGTCACACCAATCTGGAAAACATTTGTGTGCACATTAGCACATACCTACAGACGCATGCTGGCGTGAGTGGAGACACGGTGTAGGAGGATGCACACAAGTGAGCATAAACACATTTGCAGGCTGTTGCACAAACAACCTGGAAATCCCACCCGCGCATGCTTTAAGGGGATACACTGAGAAGCAATGCATTTTCATTTGATTTAATACTGCTGTTCAGCTGGCTGCTGGCTTAACATGAAAGCTGGCACACTGTGTTTACATTCATCACATTGTTTTGGATAAGGGATAAACACCTCTTAATTACCCCATGGCAGATAATTGCCTCAACTAATACTTTAATTCAGTCTTGATTAATGATTAATGAGCTACGAGAAAAATTGTGGAAGAAGCGAGGTCGACACAGTGAACCAGATTAAAAAAGTGCAACCCTCCTTTTCTTTCTTTTTTCCTTTCTTCCTTTTTTTTAAAGGAAAGAAAAAAAACCCTTCACACTGCAGCGGTGGCTTAGGAATGTGAGACAGGAATGCTGTTGAGTTACTATAAAGGGGGTTTGATCACTGAAAACAATGTCTTTGTGTTTTCGTCCCCAGCGCTAGTCACGCAATGCTGTGTGCGCAAACCTCCAGCAACTTTTCAACCCCTGCACACAAGAAAGCCATCAAGTACCTGCAATTGACAGAATCGCGTGCAATTCAGGTACTCCTGGACTGGACTGGATCGCAGCCAAAAGAACAAAGTAAAAAGTGGAATGGAACCGTGCCAGGCCCTGTGTGAATAGGAGTAATGTATGAGGAACGAAAGTATAATAAAGACTAATATAACTTCTACGTGAATATACTTTTTTATTTATTCATGGTTTTTCCCCTTTGCTTTAGGTCAGAGTTTATCAGCTTTACTCCCTTAATCCCAGCTTTGTTGTCACTTATATCCTCTCTGCTGTGTTTTAGTCATAAACGCTTCATCCGAGTACTTCTTAAATATGATGAAGTAAAAAACACAACAAAATCACAAATAACAGCAAACATGCATGCAAGCTTTGACTCCACAGTCCACAGTAGAACAGAGAAGAAATGTCCAGCTTTACTTAGCTTCAGCTTATTATAACTAAGTGGGCTCTGTTCTGATTTTGATCTGTGCTCCATTCCCGTGAATCCAGGCCTTGTTTTGAAGTTTGAGAGCGTGATCCCGGCAATACAAGCAAGCCTGGAGGTGGTTAGGACATGAAAGTGAGGTAAGAAAGACAAGAGATTCATTCATGGGAAGGTGATTCAAGGCACCGACATCTCTGTATCTCTGCACAGCTACAGATGATCATTATTACTCACACACACTGCTCACACGCAACCTGGAATGAAACTGACAGGTGATGAACGATTGCAACAGAGATTGTAACAGCTGATATCCATGACAGCTTTACTGATATTTATAGAATAATAATACTAATACTACTACTGCTAATAATAATAATGATAATATGATCTAATTTCTAATGCCTGTAACTGTTTTAAAAGTTATTTTAAAACTTTTAAAAGTTTAAAAGTTATTTCACCTTTACTTTACTTTCATTATTTTAAGGTTAACCTGTGAAATCATTTCATTGCGTTCCGTGTTTTCTTTCTTTCTTTCTTTTTGTCTTTAAAAACTGCTTTTAAGGTTTAAACCTGCTGCTGTTTTCCTATTCCAGTTAACTCCACTTACCGTCATGCATTGCGCATCTACGTTTGGTGAAAGCAGCATGTGCTGAGGCGCTCCGCACAAACTATGGCTCAGTGAAGCTGCGGCTCTTGACGAGAGCGCGTCGTGTCAGCAGAGACTCTGACTGCAGCTGCCGCAGATACCATCATTGCGCTGGACCCTAAGGAGGAATCAGCATCTTCGAAAATAATCGTTCTGATTGCTTTGCTGGATTTGCCTGGGCGTAAATCGTTTAATGCTGGGGCTCTTTGGACGAATTAACGGGATTAATCGCGACATTGACAAACGTGGAGAAGTTATTATTGTTTTGTGTTTTTGTTTAAACGTGATCACGATGATAGCAGCTGATGGATTGAAAACTCCAGCTATGGATCTTTTCGCGTGTTATAAGGAAATGCTGACTTCAGTCTGGGATGAGTTTCTACTCCTGCCACAGATTCAGCTGCTGGACAAGTCTCTTGGGATATTTGGGATACACGCGTGGTCAAGTGCTGACATTTTCATAGATGGTTAATGTTATATGCTGATTTCGGAAATGAAATCTGTATTTGGTGGATTTGTTTTTTTTTTTTTTTGCACAGTTGGATATCTTGGATTATGTTTTGGAAGCTGTGCTCCAGTGGATGTCCAGTGATTTGGATAATATGTGCGCATCTCCTGATTCCGCAGGTATGTGGACAACGTCAATATAAAAACCCCAAAGTATGCTTGACCTATGGAGGTTTGTATTTATGTTATACATGCGCGACGTGACAATGCATTCAGCACTGTCTGCTTTGGCCAAAGGTTCTGTTCTTATCTTCTCAACACACCCACATGGGTGCCCATATCTTCTCTACCAAATTATAATTTATACTGAAATTCTTTTGGAAGTGGACTCATTAGGAACATACTTATACATACAAACACAGAAGGTGTGTTTCTGCTCATTGTCAGTTGGGAGCTGTGTATTTTGACAATGGAAGCCTCTCATTAAGTTCACCTGTTCAGTAGGTGAGAACTCTTCTTTATTATTCTCTAACATCACTACATATGCATCTGTAAATGTTAAAGAAGAGGGGAAATGGCTCAATTTAATATTTCACATGCATGTGTTGAGCACAGCCATTGGCTATGCACCTGCACTGCCGGGTGGTCACAGCCTAGAGAGCAATGACCTGTTATAAGTTGTTAAAGACCAGGTGCAGCTGAAATAAATCCACAGTGTGGATACAGTGTTCATAAAAAGGAGCAGGCCCTCCCACCGCTCATACAGTAACTCCATTCAAGGTGAGAGGAAAGTGCTTTGAGCACTATAACGTTGACCTCAGTGGTAGTGGAACACCTGTCAATCATATCTATCTATCTATCTATCTATCTATCTATCTATCTATCTATCTATCTATCTAT